CTTCTGGTTCACTCCCCAAATAGCCACAATGGCCAGAACTGGGTTGATATGAAGCTGGAGCCAGGAGTTTTTTCCGGGTCTCCCATGTGGATGCAGGATCCCAAGGATTTGGATCATTCTCTGCAACCTTTCCAGGCCATAAGCAGGGAATTGGATAGAAAGTGGAGCAGCTGGGACATGAGCCAGAGCCCATATGGGATGCTGGTACTTGCAGGCAGAGGATTAGCTTACTAAGTCATCACGCTGGCCCCCTTAACTTGCTTTCTTACAGGTACCCTTGGTTTTCCCAAGGCCCTTTGAGGACTTTCCTCCTTTTCCTCCATGTTCTGCTTGCATCTCACTTAGATGACCAGCAGTTTTCTTTATCTGTGCCTTCTAATTACCCTTGTAGGTGCACATGGGAGTGGAAATTTCTTTTTTGACTATGGGCAGAAATCAGGGTAAGTGGGAGCTGCTCCCCTTGCTGGCACACCCTGAGAACCCTGAACATCTGCACACTCTTTCCCTCCGTGATTCCTTCCATTCTGTGCCACTGCCACAGGCCACTTCATAGCCCAGAGTCCTCTTTTGCTTGCTTTTTGATGGCATAGGTATGGACGTGAACATTCCTGCTAAAAATAGATCTTTCTGTTAATGGGATTGCTTTTATTTTGAGAACTGGAGAATCAAAATGTTCAAATGAGGTATTTAGTGTTCTGGTGAAAACCAGTTACTCTGTCCTAATTTGATGTATATTGCTGTGTCTTGCAATCTTCAGTGTTTACACATCACCTGCAAGGTCAAATCCATGCTTGAAACCCTGCCTGGTCCCTTCCCTCCCCCAAGTCTCTAACCTGGGGCTGCATCTAGTCACTTCCTACACCACAGGCTAGGCTGAAGGATGCCCTGGGCCTGTGTATGAAGGTGTGCTGAGCACCTGCATCACCTGTCCTTTCCTTGGGTCAGTTGGACTTTTATGGTCTGGAAGTGGAGCAGTCAGAATGTGAACCGGTGCCCATATAGGATGCTGGTGCTACACTATATCACCAACTCTTAACAATATTTTGAGGCCACTTTCCCAGCTTCACCTACTCTTCTGCCCCAGACCCTCTGGACCACACCTTCCTGAGGTGTTTGCAGTCCTGAAGCTCCATGCATCACACATGTCCGTTAACTGTACATGCGCTTCCTTTGCCTTAGGAGACTAATCCTGTCTGCCAAGGAACTTCTTTCTTATCTTTTGGGTCACCCTCAAAGTTTGTTTCATGAGCCAGTGCTACTTCCTTATAACTTCTTTCTTTGGGTATCAGTGTTTCAGTGGCCTTTACATTTTTTTTTTAATGTGACACTTAAATATAATGAGTCAGTTCTATAACTCTGTTCTTTCTCTTATGAGCTATTCAAGGCAAGAGAGAAGTTGGAGAGATGAAGTAATGGATGACAATAATAGGTGGAATGTAAGAAAGTGGGAAGTGATGATTTAATCTGGCTTGCAGTCAGTTATAAATAATGTTTGATGGTAGGAAAAGAAATCAATAAAGTGGCTTACAGATACTAGGAGTTCATTCTCCAGAGTGAAAGAAGTGTAAAGATGTTTGGTTAAGTAAGTGAGGATGCCACAATGTTATCTGAAACGCTAACTCTACAGATCTGTGTGGTTACTTTTTTTTTTTTTTTAACATGGGCTGTTTTTTGCTGATTCACTCCCCAAGTGCCTGCAGGGACTCTGACTGGACTAGCCTGAAGCCTGAGGTTGGGAACTCTGTTCCATTCTATCACATGAAAGTTAGGGACACAACTACTTGAAACATCACTTGTTATGTCTCAAGGTCCACATCAGCAGGAAAGTGAGTTCAGAAGCTGGACTTGGGTGTGAAACCCAGGTACTGTGTTATAGGATACAGCATCTTACCCACTAAGCTGAAGCTTGTCCCATGTGTGGCCACATTTATTGCATGCTTCCCTCTTCAAGGAAACCTCAAGGCTTAAAATGACTTTAAGCCATAGCTATCAAATTCATTCCAAACGTGAACAGCAAAAGTGGGGTCCAGTACAGTAGCCTACTGGCGAAAGTCCTCACCTTGTATGCACGAGGACCCCACATGGGTGCTGGTTCCCAACAGCCCTGCTTCCCATCCAGCTCCCTGCTTGTGGCCTGGGAAAGCAGTCAAGGACGGCCCAAAGCCTTGGGATCATGCACCGACATGGGAGACCCAGAAGAAGTGCCTGGCTCCTGGCTTCAGATTAGCTCAGCTCTGGCCGTTGTGGCTACTTAGGGAGTGATTCATTGGATGGAAGATCTTTCTCTCTCTCCCTCCTATCTGTACATCTGCCTTTCCAATAAAAATAATCACACACAAAAAAAATCAAAAGCACTTTTCCCAGGAATGCAGCCTCCTTTTAGAAGATTTCTGAGGGTCCTCTACCCAGAAACTTCCATCTTTATTTCATTTTAGTTATATAGTCATCTTTATCTATACAGTCATCTTCAACCTATGTAACATAGGTTATCTATACATTTAACAAAAAAGAGAATTTTTTTTTTAAAAATGACCTCTTGGTCTGAATACACATTTCTCCTAAGAAGATGTGTAATAAGCAGTAAGTGCATGGAAAGATGCACAGCAGCCTTAGTCATGAGGGAAGTGCAAGTCAAAGCCATGGTGAGTTATTGCTTCACCAACACCAGGATGACACTGGAATCAGCAACAGTATTGCCAAAGAGCTCCCGTGACATTGCTGGTGTGTAATGACCTGGAAAGTGATACAGACACTTGAGAAAACGGTCTGGAAGTTCCCCAAACAGTTACACATGGAAGGACCATTTGTCCCAGCAGTCCTACTAAGTATATACACGAGAGAATGAAAATGGACATCTACGCAAATATTGTTAAATGTTCAGAGGAGCGCAACGCATTATCACCCCAAAGTAGAAACATCTCAAAGATCCAGAAAATGTCACTAACAGGTTGTGACATACACATACGTTAGAATAGTATTCTGTCATAAAATGGAAGAAAGCATCAGTGCATTCTGCAACAGGTATGAATCTTATGAACGTTATACAACATGAAAAGAGCCAGTCACAGAGCCATATGATGTATAAGTCCACATATATGGGATGTCCAAGGAGGCAAATCTATAGAGATAGAAGTTGACCAGAGTAACGGTCAGTGATTGGAAACGGTAATGGTTTTCCCGTGGGGATGATGGAAATATTCTAAAACTAAATGGTGCTTTAGGTTGTACAATTTGAATATATTAAAAAACAGTAAAATCTGAATTGCATAGATAAGTATGTCTTTTATGTGTAAGATATATCTTCAAAATTAGCCTCAGAAAAATGGAGGAAGTTCCCAGATGAATTAACATCTAAGGAATATGTTAGCCATTGTCTCTACTTCATTTGAGTCCTGACTTAGAAATAAATCTGGCCTGCATGGTGAGGTGTAGTTGCCCAGATGGCCAAGATTGTGAGTGCTTATTTTGTACTGTAGATTCACGATTTCCAGAAATCAGTTATTTTTTGAGCCTGCAAAGAAGAGGAAGAGAGATGATAGGGGTCATTAAACAGATGTAGGGATCACTTTATTCAGAGCAGCGGAGTGTTGGAAGGATTGGCTCTGAGCGAACTGTGAAGGAGTCTTATGGAGTCTTGGTGCATAAAGTCAGTCAGAAGGTCATGGACAAAGACTTGAAAAAAAGGTTATATGCCTGCAGTCTACAGACAAGTGACTGCACACCAAGAGCATGCTTCCTCATCAGCAGAAGGACAGAGATGATGATCTCTGACCACAGGGTGGGCATGTGACGCAGACTGCGCTCCTGCTCCAGGAATAGATGATGTGTCCTGTAATGGCCAACCCAAGTTTGTTTCAGAGCGTATCTTTTGCTAAAGAAAAAGATGAGGATTGTCGGTGTAGAGGAGGGTCATGGATGTGCAACCAGGAAGGAAGGTTGTTGACATGTCTGCGTCTCTTACAGAAATGGTTAGAAGGAGCTGGCAAGAAGCCGCCTGCTTTTAGTAGGTAGCAGTAAGGCAAGAGTGCCAGTTTGGGCCAACAGGTGGGTCAAATAACAGGGACAGTTCATCCCAGCTGCCTCGAACTGAGGAAGTCCTCTGCTCTGAGCTTCTCTCAAGCCAACCATTCCTCTGGGCCTGGGTTTCTGATTCTCTTTTAGTCTTTATCCGTTTTGTAAGGTGTGAGATGAAGAAGTGATTTTTCAGTTGTATAAATGTATGTGAGGTGGACGTGTTCATGGAAAATGTTACTATCATGTTCATTTGGAGTAGATGAATGAAACTTTGAGATCCAGTTTCAAAACTTGAGAATATTTGCAGATTTTCCTAGTTGTTTTTGTGCTCATTCCATTGTTCCTTAAGCTACTTTTTTTCAAGCAGTGGCCTAAAAATAAACCATATTTTGGATGTCCATTATGTTTAAAATCACTATATGTACTGCTACTCATCCAACCCAGACAAGAACATGCTCATCTGTTGAATGTGCCTGTTACCACAAATGCCCAGCTGAGGAGCCTGAAGTAATTTTGCAAAATGCGAAAATGTTTATTATTGATTTCCTCCATATCTCAGGTGCAGACCTTCCTCCTTCAGATGTCTGACTACCTTTCTCCTTTCCCAGCCCTTCCATTCCCCCAGCCCCTCCGAGGTCCGACCTTAGGTACTCAGTTTGTATGACTCTCGCTACAGCTCTTATGAAACCTCCTCCCTCCTTTGCCCTTTCCAAAGTGACTCACTAATGAGTTCTCCCTGGCAGTGTCTCTGGGAAGATAAGGGAGGGGGAGCATGATTTTTGTCCTCCCACAGGTAGTGATCAATTGTTGCCTTGCCTCTGTGTATAGGAACCGCTGACTAAATGACCTGTGAGGGCCATTCCAGTACGTTCCAGCCTGTCTCCATGGCTTCTCCATAAGTAAGAACTTTGGCTCACTGCCACCTGTCTGTCAGAGCACTCTGACTCTCCATACCTGAAATTTCTGTTCTGTGAGACAGCCAGTATCACCTAGCAGTGTTGGTGCTTGGGCACCATGAGCGATTTCAAGAGTAACCGAGAACTGTACCTGCAGTATGCCGCCATGGCCCCCAAGCTGCTGGCCCACATCTCCAAACTTTTCACATACTTCAGGAAGAAAGGAATTGCTGTACCGAAGGGCATCAGAAACTTTTTTCAGATCACTTGGGATGAGCTCATCAGCACCCTTGAAGTACCTACACCATCAAAAATCCCAGGCCTGGAAATCAGCTTTGGATCCCCCACTGTGACACTGACAGAACCAGTCTCTTTGCAGGTTCCCACACAGAAGAAGCTGCCAATGCAAGCACTGCCACTGATACTACCAGTGGTTACCAGGACAACCAAACCCTCCCTCTCCCCTGGGCCACCCTGTCCCATGTCCTCCATCCAGGAGACTCTGGACAAGTTTCAGCGACAGTCCATCCACTTACTAACAGAGCTCCTCACTCTGAAGATGAAGGTTATGGTGGAGTCTGCATCTGGTAAGGCCCCAGGCTCTTCTCCTTTCTGGTACGTGTGTGTGTGTGTGTGTGTGTGTGTGTGAGAGAGAGAGAGAGAGAGAGAGAGAGAGAGAGCCATCCCGTATACAGGTACAGGTTGAGCATCCTTAATCCAAAGTTTAAGATCTACCTGAATGTAAAATCTTGATCACTGAGGTGATGCCACCAATGGAAAGTTCTAATATGACTTCATGTGAGGAGCCATAGTCAAAACACAGGCACACTAGAAAGGTTACTAAGTAATACATCAGGCTGTGGGTACCAGATGTATATAAAACATGGCTGTATTTTCTGTTTAGTCTTGAGTTCTTTCCCCAAGATACTTCAGACATGCTGGAATCCAAAAATGCCACCCATCAGAAACATGGCCAGATGCAAGCATTTCAGATAGAGGATGTTCAATTGCTGTATCCCAGAGATGTACTATGTATGACATCCTCAGGTCTGCTCAAGGATCAATCTTCCCTCTATCACTGCCAAGCACTCTCCTGTTTTCCTCCCATTCTAGGCCTAGAGTAGAAGGTTAGCACAGAAGTGTGAGGTCAGACATGTTGGAAAGTAGTTTGTGGTTTTTCACAAGTAGAAAGCTCTGAGGAGAGGGTGATCTGTGAAGTTTGCAAATCTGGACGTTCCATTGATACGTGGCCAGATAAACCAGTGCAGCCAGAACTGGGGGAATTTAGGAGAACCAGGCTGCCTCCCGAGTGAGGGCATCACCCAGTACCAAGGCTGGGACCTTGAACAGCATCCCTAGTTGAGCCTTTCCAACACTTCATCGCTTCCAAAAGCAGGAGCCTTAGTCCCTAGCCTGCTCACAGGGAGAGAGACATTCAAGGGAACAGGGAGCAGAGTGCCTCCTGTTTGCATCTTGATGCTTGAGACCCTTTCATTAGGAGCCCTCACAATTGCTTACTCCAGGATTAGATTTTTCTCTCTTATCTCCTGGGGAGTTTACAGAGATTCTTTTCTAGATGCATCTGCCCTGCGTTGGAAAGAAATTATTTAACCCTCAGTCATTTTTCTAGTTGGTGCCAACCCCCAGGATATCTCCAGGCGCTTTGTGGAAGCCAGTCAGCTGCTGCATCTCAATGCCAAGGAGATGGCCTTTAACTTCCTGATTGGCACAGTCGGAAGAAGTGGCTACAATGAAGGACAGACAGGGAAAGGTAGGTACTCAAGCTCCTGCTGTTGGGTGAAAAGTTGAATAATATTGACAGCAATACCATGGAAACATAGAATTCCCAGTTGGAAAGTTGGACCTTTCTATGAGTCAGAGTAGATGTGGAGTAACAGGCTTCTCAAATGCTACAGGTAATTAGCACAATTAGATAGATTAGGCCAATTCCTGTGGCGAGCAGGACGGGGTATCTCTGTGCTGGGAAGTGTCTGTGCCTTAGAGTCCAGCACTTCTAGATCACTCACTGGAGTTGTGCTTCTCAAACTATCTGCGGTGAAGGACTGATTTTATAGTACACAGTCTGTTTGGACCAGTCCTTTTATAAAATGCTGCAGTCAGATTGTTGCAGAGGTCTCTCATGCCTACCTTGGTGTTTGTACTCACTTGGTCATGGCCTGTGTGTGCACAGGCTAAGGTAAGAGTCGCCCTGCCAGAGATTGTTACACATATGTGCAGTAAATTCTCTGTGAAATTGTTCAGAATGGCAAAAAATACAATGGAAACAATCTAAGTGTCCATCAATGGGAGAAAAATAATTATTATCAATTTATACAGCAAAACATAGTGAGCAGCGAAGATGAATGAACCATCGAAGCACACATTTTAGTACAGACACATCTGGAAAAGTAGAGTTGATCAAAGGAAAAAACCAAAGTTATGAAAGTTTAAAAGTGCAGATAATAATGTATTATAAATACATTTTATACAAAGTTCAAGCATAAAAACATTCAAGGGACAATTGAAGGGAGTGGTCTCTGGAGAAGTGGAATGCGTGGTGGGATGTGGGAGAACTCAGGTCAGTTAGATCTGTAATATTTTATTTCTTAGGTTCTTATGGTTAACTTAGTGGGTGTATGTATTGATGTGGGGTGGGGACACTAAACTCTACCCTGCAGCACATTTCAGCTGTGTATGCTGTAGTATTAGTCACCATGCTGTTACATTTTTCCAGAATTTTGTCATTTTATAATTGGTAGTCCATGCCCTCTGACCCATTTTCTCTATTTCCCTGTCTCCCAACACCTGACAAGCACAGTTCTACTCTCCATAAGTTCATCCTTTTTAGATCTCATACATAAATGAGGTCGTGTAGTACCTTTCAGCCTGTACCTGGACCGTCATGTCCTCCTTATTGTTAGAGATGAGGTTTCCTTCTTGTTTGAGGCTGAATAGTATTTGCTGTATATGCAAAAAACATTCTGAATTCACACATGCTGATGCGTGTTTTCTGCATTTTGACTGCTGTGAATAAGGCTGTAATGAGCATAGTGTAGCAACTCTGTCTTGAACAGACTCGTTTCATTTCTTTGGATATTTACCCAGAAGAATGGTTGTTGGAATGTGTGGTTGTTCAGTTTTTAATTTGTTTTGTTTTCCCACGTGGCTGTACCAGTCTGCACTTCCACCAACAGTGTACTAATGTTCTGTTTTCTTCACATGCTCACCATCACTTCATTTTTAATAACAGCCATTCTAACATGAGGTGATACTACCATTTGGATGTGAGCTGATGTCTCGCTGTAGCTTGATTTGTGTTTTCCTGACATGTTAATGGATTTTATTCCGTTTCTATTAGCATTGACACTTGTTAGTTCTCATATCTCCTATGTTAGGAGTATGGAAAATAATCTAGTTTCAACATTTGGGTCCTTAGCAAATATTATTTTTTTAAATGTTTTATCATCCAGTGTAGAGTGCTGATATATTTTATTCATGAAATCAAATTTGCCATTTTTCACTGAATTTGAATTATTGATGTAAAGTGGATTGAATGACATTTTCTGGCAATGGTTTTGTAACTTATTTGGGGTTAAAATGTCATGGGACAGCTGGTCAGTAAGTAAAGGGACTGGCATTGTGGCACAGTGGATTATATCACCTCCTGTGATGCCTGCATCCCATACAAGTGCCAGTTTGAGTCCCAGCTTGTTCCACTTCTGATCCATCTCCTTGTTACTATGCCTATGAATAGGATAAGACCTGGCTGCTGCTGCCGTCTGGTTAGTAAATCGGTTAAAGGAAGGTATCTTCTCCCTGTCCTTCCCTCAATCTTAATAGCTTTTATAACTCTTGGTGGCTGAAACTACTCCAAAAGGCAGAGCCCTGGTGCCTGACTATAAAGCTCCTACAGAGAATAAAAACATTCCTCGCTCAGCATGCCAGCCTTTGAGATTGAGTTAGATTGTGTTGTTCTGTGATTTTATTTCTGAAAGTAAAACTTGCCATAAATTAGAGGTCATTTTCCCAAAATAAAATCCTTTTTGTATGATGTTATACAGTTTTCAGTACTGATGTATACATTGCATTGCTTTTTTCCCCCAAACGTGTTTTTTTTTTTATTGTTGTTTACATTGTATTATGTGGTACAGTTTTATAGGCGCTGGGGATTCCCCCCACCCTTCCCATACCAAACGTGTTATTTTAATTTCAATGAGTTTGAAGAAACTTTTATAACTTTATAACTCTGCCCTTCAAATGAATAAATAAATCTTTTAAAAAAATGTTAAGAAATTAACAGAAGAGTAAAATTATTTAATGCAAAGCAAAAGTATACCTCAAGAAGGAATGCTGGCACACTGAATATGAACTCCTTACCCCAGTAAGGTTTGAGGCCATCCCTCTGTGTGTGTGATGCCTGAGGTAGGGCTTAATTGAATATTTATAAGGGACAACTTTTACCCTGTTTTGGAGGTTTCCATAGTGTCATGATGTCAGACGTACGACTGGAGTAGGAATGTCAGGCAAGGTAGTTTTATTATGATGATATTAATCAGCCACAGATCATCTTGGGGACACAGTCAGCAAGAATATTAGTTCCGTTTGGCCAGCACTCCATCTGAGTGGGAGTTTGATAGAAACTGCTTTTCTGCAGTATGGAAAACTAGAGTGGGAAGTTTGAGCAAAGCTGTGGGGCTGCAGGGATTACAAGCGCAACTCCTCCTTGCTGGCTACCCCTTTGCTTGTATCAGATTTATATCTAATGAATGAACTATTTACCTGTGACGGTGAGAAGAAGCAAACACCAAGGTAAGATTTATGTAGAAATAATGAAGATTTTTGACTAGTAATGAGAGTGCTAGGTTGTAATTTGTAAATAGCCCCATATCACATGTGTCTCTAAAGGTGGTGTCATTCTGCAACAGACCAGTATATTGATAAAAGGGAAAGGAACAACCTTTACTTCCCCTCCCAAGGTTTGTTCTCTCAAGCTGGTCAGCAATAACATCAGCATTTCCCATTTTTATTATGTCACCTTTTGACCCTGCTTTGCCCTCACTTTCTTCTTGAGAAATAAATGGAGCTGGAAGCACTGTACAAGGGACTCTTAAAGATTTCCTTTAATTTACATGATTCCTTGCTGTGTATTGAGAAATTCCTTTCTTCCTGGATCCGGCGGTTTTTTAACAATAGGATATTTAGAATATCTTGTCCATTATATGGCCAGAAAAGTTACATTTCTGACTTAGAAACTTAAAATTTATTGAAGAAAATGAAAAATTATTCTTTCTTCTTCTGCAGAGTCCCCTGTGAATTACTCTGCCTTGGGTGTGAACTCGCCCTACCAGCTGACTTACCAGCCTTCCACAGCCTGTCTGAGCTTTTCCCTCTCAACTGGGAGGGATATCAAGAAGAAAATAGGTGAACATGGTTTCCAGTAAGATCTCATGGCCCTCGTTTAGGAGGACAGGAGGGTGGGCTAGAAGCTTGGAAGGTTGTTGTGCAGTGGCTGTGGGTTCTGGGGTTGAGGAGAGTGAGTCTTCTGGTATTGAAGGGTCGTAGCTGCCCTGGCTGGAGACCCAGCAGAGACTGAGCCAGATTGTCTCCCTGGAGAGAAGCCCTGGAGCCCCACCACCACATGGTCTCATCATTTCCATGTGCCCATGCCCCCCAGTCACTGAAATGCACTTCCCCTCCCTGGCACCTCCCTCCACGCTGTCCTCCTCCTCCCTCCACTAGTGGGTCCCAAGCCCACCCAGGCTACTCAGGGACATGCTGTCTAGTTCCACTGCAGGAGGTGGGGCACTTTGATTGTGAACAGAGGGATTTGGATCCCCCAAGGAACAGACTCTAGCTGTGTCCTTATTTGGGCTGGGGTGTGAGGGCAGGGGAATGCACTCCTAGTGACCAAGGAAGACATATGCAGAGGAGGGCACATGGAGCAGATGGAGGCAGATGGGATCTAGCAGCAGAACAGGAAGTGTGCAACCAGCAGCTTCGGGAGGGGCAGAGGAGCCAGGGCTGTGGAGAGCCCTCCTGGTGGGCTGTGAGGACAGGGTGGGAGGGAGGTCAGAGGAGGAGGGGAGAGTGGCACTGGCTGAGGTGCAGGGGGGCGGGAGGGCAGCACTCAGACTGTCCCGTTGCTTCCCACAGATGCTGCAGGTAAGATGCTGGAGGTTGAGAAGTGTGGATGCTTCCCGCCCCTGCCCTGGCTGGCCTGGTGACACGCCTTCCTGTGGTCTCACTCTCCTTCCTGGTAAAAGGGGGTGGTGTGGTGTGGGGTCACAATGTGCCCCTATCTGGCCACCACTCAGCTGGTTGTGATGGTTATTTGTTCTTTTTGCTTCCTGGCCATGTCACTCCTCTGTACTAACTGGTCTCACATGCCCTAGACAGTGGGCTCGCAGTTGATGTCTGTTCTGTGGGTGACCAGCCCCTGACTGCTGTCCCTGTGGATCCCGAGTGCCCTCCCCTCTGCCATGTGGCTCTGATGTTCAGGGATGCTCTCCTTGGAATATCGCTGGCCCCTGTGACCAAGTGATCACAACATCCTGGGATCCCACCTTCTACAGCTCCTCTCTGACCCTCCTTTCCCCCCTGCCCGCTTTGCTTCTTCAGCTACAGGCAAATCCAAAGCTATACAAGATGTCTTCTCACCACTTCCTCAAGTAGTACTAGTGTCTCCTGATAACATCGAGTTCAGGGATCCGTGCCCTGAGGCCTGGGAGAAGCTGAAGAAGTTGTGTTGCCACATGTGAGCAGACACAGCAGTTGAAATAGAGGAAATCATGAAATAGACACAGCAGTTGAAATAGAGGAAATCACTTCTGGCTGAGGGCACCAAAGGGGTAGTTGGGAAGTGTGTGAATCCTACAGGGGCCAGCAGCTGCCTGCTACTGCCCATGGTAGCCTCAGGAGTGGCATCCCAGGAGTGGATGCATGTTCTGGTCCTTCCACCCTGACCATCCTTTCTATGTGATCTTGCTGCAGCCACAGCGGGAAGACAAGGCCAATGCCCACTTTGCAGATGAGGAAACAGAGGCAGCCCAGATGGATGAGGAGTTGCCCGGGTTCCCTCAGCTCCCCGGGCCTCAAGCAAAGGGCCTTCACCTGCACCCTGTGCCACCTCCCAGTGATGCCCTCCCTGTGGCTCCTTACCATTTGCGGCTTTTGGGTCATGACATTAAATTTCTTAACATCGTTTGTCAGGTTCTCTACTACAAAGGAAAAGAGGAACCTCTCCTTGCTCCCTCTCCCCGGAAAACAGACAAGGGTAGTTAATGGTATTGATGGTGTTGGTCCCACGAGGCCTAGCACATTATCAGCATAAGAACACAGACCCTAAAGGATTTAAGAACCTATTCCCATGTAGTATCTCAGTCAGATAAGGCAGGTGTGTCTGCCAGGGGAGGAGGTCACTGGGCCAGAGCGTATTTCATGTAGAGCCGCCCAGCTGCCTCCTGACTGTGACCTCCTCAAAGAAGGCTCTCTTGCCCTGGAATTGAGGATTAGGAGCTGAGCAAAGTGTCAGCTGCCCCAGACCCTTTCTGCACACAGTCCCACCTCTTGGTCCTTACCACCAGAGTCAGGAGAGCAGTTAGGTAAGTGCTGGTCTTGGAGGGTCCCAGAACAGTCCTAGTGCTCCCCTAAAGTGCTACATATCAGGGTGAGGGAGGATGGGTTAAGACTGGTACTGAAGGGAGCAGGCAGGGAGTGGGATGGGACTGTCTGGAGAGTGCAGCCTCGTGGTGACAGACACACTGATCTCTTCAGAGAAGCTGAGCGAGCCGCCTGGAAAGGGAAGGACATCTCCTATCCGATGATTGTCCGCAACTATGGGACAAAGGCGCACCTTGAGTCTGCATCAACCCACAAAATGGAGCTGCAGACCCTAACTTCCTATCCCTCTCGCACAACGAGTGCTCACAACTCCAATCCTGGTCTTCGTCATTCTTCAACACAACATTCTCACTGCAAACATCCTCAAAAGCAGAAGGTGCCCAAGAAACCCGTTAAGTTGCATTACACCTTCTTCGACGGCTCCTCCTTCGTGTAGTATCCTTTTGTGTGGATACTTGGGCCCGGCACGGTGGCCTAGTGGCTAAAGTTCTTTTGTGTGCATGCCTGCTGTTCCATCCCATAATATTCTAGGGCTTCAAACAGTATGGCGATTTTCTTAGGATTTTTCATTCCTTGAGAAGCCTGCCAATGGGGCTTCCAGATGTTATGAGTTTGTCCAGGTTCAACTCAGGAGGATCAAAGTTGGAGTGCCCAAGTTTAAACCCTTTTGTTCCATTGAGACCAAAATGGGTATACCCCACCCTGGCTTCCTGTGCAAGGCAGGAAATACATCCGTAGTCAGTGTCCTTGAAGTGAAAGCTATGAAAAATGTATCTCTGGCCCCAGGTGATGCTTGCACGATATCCTGGTTATATAGGGGAATCTTCATATTTCCCTCTGCTGAACTGGGAAGCCTCTCGTCCTTGTCTTTTCATCCTGAGCGTCCACATAGTCCGAGAATAAGCCTTTTGCTGTTCAATTTTGTGTGGGTTTACGGACATAGCTCTAGCTATATTCCAGCATTAACATGTAGAGTGGCAGGAAAGGCCACATTTTCTCTGAGATCTCATGAAAGCTATAGACCTTTTTCTCAGAAATATACACTTACCTACTGAGGACTCATTATTAGATCCTGTTTTCCTAGAGGCTGTTTTGCTAAGCTCTTACATAAAAATAAATCTGTCTTCATGTTCGTGTGTCTTTGGTATATCTAAAATCCCCAAGCCACAGTTGGCGTATACTAGTAATTTCAGCCCCAGAACCATCCAGTATCAATTGTACTTATTTACTCATGCTGCTATAGTTGTATCTCATTGTGGTTTTGACGTGTATTTAATGTTTTGTGATGTGGAGAATGTTTTTATGTGACTTTTCTGGTAGATCTTCCATGGAGAAATGTGTATTCATGTCCTTTGCTCATGTTTCAATCTATGTTTTTAAAAAATGAGTTATAAAGGTTTATTATGCATTATGGATACTATACCCTTAGCAGGGATATGATTTGTGAATGTTTCTTCATACTATAACGTATCTTCTCACTCTCTTTGCAGTATCCATTGATGAAAACAGAAGTTTTTGTTTTGGTGAAGTTGTTTCCCATTTTTAAAAATATTTTATTGATTTTGCCTTTTGGTTTCATATCAAAGCATTACTGAATCCAAGGTCACGAAGACTTGCCTGTATTTTTTACAAAGAGTTTTGTAGTTACAACTCTTACATTTAGGTATTTGTGTTTGGGGGCGTATGGTATGTGATACCGTTCCCGTTTCCATCTGTGAGTGTAGATATCCTGTTGCCCCAGCACCACTGTTAAACATGACATTGTTTCCTCCATTGAAGATCTTGGCATCCTGGTCCAAGTCAGCTCACTGCAGATGCATGTGTTTCATTTTTGGTCTTTAAATTCTAGTCCATTGGTCTCTCCATACTCCTATCAGTACCTCACTTTTTTTTTTTTTAATTGTAGCTTGTGAGTTACTTTTGAAATCAGGAAATGAGTCCTTCTACTCATTTAGAGGATTTTTTTGAGATAATCCTGATTATTTGTGGTCCATTACAACTCCATATAAGCAATTGGATGGGAGCATTCCCTTTCCTTTCTGTTTCAAATTAAGAAAAGCAGGAGGACAAGAAATATTCTGGTTCTTGGAGAATGAATCTTGACTCTAAGTTTCCTGTGGTGTGTGATAGGGCAGATCATCCTGGTTTTCTTAGGACTTTTCCTGAGTTTTGCACTGAAAATCTTATGTCCCAGGAAAACTGTTAGACCTAGGTAAATCACTCATCTACTCATCTATGAAGCAGAGAAAAAAAAAACAAACAAGGTGTTAGAAATATGAAAATGGTACAGGAAGGAAGGCACCCATGATGCAGTTGGGTTCCATAATCAATTGTTACTATGCATGTGCAGGGCGGGTCTTTCAGGATGCAGAATGCTGCACCTAAAAGCTAACACAGTGGGTCCAGCGCGGTGGCCTAGTGGCTAAAGTCCTTGCCTTGAATGCACCGGGATCCCACATGGGCACCGATTCTATATAATCCTGGTAGCCCCACTTTCCCATCCAGCTCCCTGCTTGTGGCCTGGGAAAGCAGTCGAGGACAGCCCAAAGCCTTGGGACCCTGCACCCATGTGGGAGACCTGGAAGAGGTTCCTGGCTCCTGGCTTTGGATTGGTGCAGCTCCAGCCATTGTGGTCACTTGGGTAGTGAATTATCAGATGGAAGACCTTCCTCTCTGTCTCTCCTCCTCTCTCTATATATCTGACCTTGCAATAAAAATAAATAAATCTTTTTTTTTTTTTTAAGAAAGTTAACACAATGATTTGTAGATGTGTTTCCATGAGGCATAGGAGAGCCAAACCTGGGAAGTTAAGTTCTACTTAACCATTTCTACCAGTTACCCTTCTGGAAACATTGCCGCATGTCAGATCCCCACATGCTGCAGAGAGCGAACCATCACCTACCTCTACAATGACCTACCTCGTTCCCTCCTGGCCCTGTTCATTGCAGATAGCCAGGGTTACGTTCACTACAACGTAAAGACCTGGTAAGTGCGTTTGGGGGAATTCCCTTCCCCGTAAAATTATCTCTCTGGGACTGAAGTGGTATCTAGCAATCCCTGATTATAAGAGGGGCCAGGCAAAGTCCAAATGTCAGTAATGCAATGAAGCAGGGCTGATGCAGTGTCTGCAAAAGCATGGGGATGGTGAGGCTTGACCTTTCCTTGCAGGGGCCATGTCATAGTCAGTTTGAAGAGCAACTCCCCAAGTCCTGTTGTATCTCTTTTGTTTTGGTTTAAGCCTCCGTCAGCTTTACTAGACTCCAATGGTATTATCATACCATGTGTTGAGGGGCTGTGGACCATATTTGGCAGGGCAGGTGAGACTGCTTGCTGTCCCCACTTACAGCTTGTACTGATGGAGGGCATCCTTCTGAGGCCTGGTAGTAGCCTCGTATTTCTGTGTCTCTTCTAGCTGCCCATATATCTTGGTTTTGGATGAGAACGGTGGGAGCACCACTGACCACAAAGGCTACCTAGTTCATAAGTGGAGTTGGACTTCTGAAACGGAGACTTTACTCTCACTGGAATATATGGTAGGTGGGGTAGCACAGGAGGGGTGGTGATGAACACCATTGCCCAGCTATGGCCTTAAAAACCTTCTATGGGCTGCCCAGCATCAAGAGACAAAGTGTACCTGTAAGACAAGAGTCTTTCACCTCAAGGAGCTTTTAATCTCATTCTGAGGTTCTTAAATTGTTATGACAGAGAAAACTCCTATCCCTTAATTAAGTCCCTAGATATACTCACCAATCACAACTGGGTCTGACTGAAGCCAGGAACCTAGGCACTCAATCTGATCTCCTATGTTGGTGGCAGGAACCCTACTGAGCCATCATGGCTCCCTTCTGGGGTCTACGGTAGCAAGAAGCTGGAGTCAGGAGGCAGAGCCCAGCACCACACCCAAGAACTCCAGTGTGAAATGCTGGTGTCCTAACTGCTAGGCTGAATGCCTGCTCCCTAGTTAAAAAGTCCCTTATGTTATGAAATAACAGTGGTCATGATTGATAGATTTACTTTCATTCCCTATAGGTAGTAGAAATAAAATCAATTTTATATTGATCTCCAAATTATTTTTATAAATTTACTGTCTATGAAATTGAAATACCTAAGAGTTAGTTTGGATTGTAGATTTAAACTTTTTTCATTCATTTGTTATTCATCAATATGTACTAAATGATATAAAAGCATTAAAATGTAATTAATTCATAAGGTTATGTGCTTATAATTTTCATTCAGAGTATTTTTCATGAATAGCACTCTGACGCTCTTAGGTATTTTTGGAGTGCATATATCAGGACTGGGTCTCATCAGTTGCTGATGCCTGTACAGTGGACATTATGTCCAGATGCACATGAGGGCATGAAGGTCAGCTCATTCAGGCCAACAAAGGATATCAGCTGCCTTGTTAGAGGATGGAAAGCAGAACAGGTTGGAACACTTGCCTGGCCAAGCTTTGCAGCACGTTCATGTGTCTGTGTATGCACTAAGATGGGCTTTGTCAGCCAGTAGACCCTGGAAAGATTTTTCAACCCTGAAACAATGAAATTGACAATGTCTTAGGGCTATCAAAATTACTCACATAACACCCCCAGAATGCTCTTCCCAATGTTGAGTTCTCTGGGGCATCATCGAAGCATCATCCCTCATTCCTGAGTACTCATATAATTTGACAGAAAAGAGTAGCCCTCTTCCCTTCCTTCCTTGCAGACAGAGGAGAAAAACAAACAAACAAAAAAGACTGAAACATGTGCCCCACCCACCTTCTAATCTGACCCTGTCCACCCTAACAGCCGATATGGGTATGCATCCCTCTCAGCAATATAAACAGTATTAAAAATAAAATTAAAAAAAAATCTGCACATTGTTGTAAGAGAGTTTATGAGCTGGCATTGTGGCAGACAGAGTAATGCCATCATCTATAATACAAGCAGACCATGTGCACACTGGTTCACAGCCAAGTAGCTCTGCTTCTGATCCAGCTCCCTGTTGATGGCCTGGGGAAACAGCAGAAGATGGCCTGAATGGCCCCGTCACTCACATGGGAGATTCAGATGAAGCTCCTGTCTTGAGCCTTGCTCAGTCCTGGCCATGTGGCCATTCCTTATTCTCTCTTCTATTGCCCCCTATGTGTAACTCTCAAGTAAGTAGAGCATCTTTAAAAGTTTTTTTTTTCTTTAAGATTTTGTTATTATCCTTAGGCTCAGAGAGCTAATTTCCATAAAATAGCTCAATTGACAATCCCTACATTGATATTTAATTTGTCTGACTGCAGAACCTCGACTCTCTAAAACCCTGAATTTGTGCATCTTTCTAGAAGTAGGACAGGACAGAATATTATCTCTCTTAAGTGAGAGTGAACAACAGGTCTGAATATGTAAAAAAAATGTGCAAGTCTTGTGCTTTCAGGGTGCTGTGAGGGACTAGCATCTAGATTACAGAGTGTAAGGAAGGTACTCATTGTAGAGGATATTGATCTTTGGGCCAAAAACTGGAATAACAGGAGAAAATGCAGAAAGAAAATGGGCATGTATTTGCCCTGGTTCAGGGACATGCTGAAGTGTGTGTAGGCAAGAGGGTATTGTAGGTCAGGGAGAGCAAAGACCAAGAGAAGCACAGTCCAGCTGACTGCACATGAAGGCTCTTGGGTAGGGACACTGTGTGGAAGTAACACTGTGCTTGTGAAACCATGTCCTGTTCTTCTACAAGCCAAGAGGTGTTTTGTGTTTCAGACTGGGTCCAGAAGGGGTAGGGAGGGACAAGGGAAATAGGAATCTTAATAAGAACTGATTTCCTCATCTGCAGGTGAATAAGCAAATGAAGCTAACAATCCTGGGAAAGGAATGTATCACAGTCACCTTCACCTCTCAGAATGAGACAGTAACACTGAGTGTATCAGCCAAAAAATGTCCCCACAAGACATTGCACAATAAACGGGTAAGGCAACCCAACCCCATGGCATCTCCACATGAGTTGCCCTTCACATCCCAGGGCCTTTGTACATATCCTCCAGGAGCCTCCCTTGCACAGATTCAGGGCAGACAGGATAGGAATGAACAGATGTGGAAGTTTAGAGAGCACAATCACTGATGGCTGAGGAGATCAGGGAGAGACTTTCTGGAGAAAAAGTCTGACCCGGTTACAATTCACTCTGGAGTCAGAGTCTGGGTTTACCTTACCAATGAAATACTGCTGGTGTCCAGAGCAGATCTTGTGTCAAATTTCCTGGAAAACAGTCTTGGATGTTGAGGTAAATGCACAGGAGTCTGTGGCAATAGCCTCATTGAGGTGAGGGTTTGGGTTCAATAGAGGTTGAACTCCAGGGCAGACATAGCAAAGGATTCTGGATCCCTTAGAAACAGGGATAACCTTTTATATCAATCCTGAATTGAAACAAGAGGCCTGGGTCTGTTATGTCCTAGTCAATTTCTGTAAGTTTGGCCATGGATAGTTTTTTGGCAGCTTCATCTGGGCTGTTGTGCAGGAATTCATTGGGCTCGAAGGAGAAAGGTGGCTTCCAGGTGGAACACCTAAATTAGAACATGTGATTGTCACTGGGCTTCACAAATGGCTCTTTAAGGGCAGTGGCAAGCACTCTTTCTCTTTGCTTCTGTCAAGCTAACACACAGAATCAATGTGATGGATGACAAGCTATCTATGATGAGCCGAGCCTTGAATGAGCTCAGGAAGCGTTTTCAGAAGACCATGAGTTTGTTTACGAATTCTATCTTGATGGCAGCAGGTAAGGGAGCAGAAAGTGGGGAAGGCCTATTCAATGGCTTCTCAATCTTTACCATTGTTATGTGATGAATATGAAACATATAGTCCTGGCACGGGTGTTTCCTAATTTTAAATAGGAACATTGGGCTCAGGTTACTCGAAGACTTGGCCTGAGACCACCCAGCCAAGAATGGTGAACTTAGCCAGCTTTGACTTTGAACCCTTACTTCATGTGTTTTGATGCGTCCCTGTGATTGTCTTGTTTTCCGGCACCTTCCATTGTCTTACTACTTGGTACCTTTCACCTTCATCATTTTTCACCTCCCTCTCCCTCTCAAACATAATCCATTTCTGGCCCCCATTTTCTTGGCTTCTATGAAAGGTGTCACTTGGTAGAGAGAAAAGCAGTGACCTCCCTTGCCTGTCCTGTTAAACCCCAGATCTCACCCAGGCCCAGTGAGCGTGATGCTGGCACCCGGTGACATCTCATTTCTCCTAACTGCTGACAGACATGGAAGCCAGAAGACATTGACCTTGCTCTGTGAAACACCCTGACTGAGCACCAAGAGGCTGTGCTTCCTGCATACAGGCCTTCTTGGGGATTCTCTGTACTCCTCGAGACTGTTCTGTATCTTAATTCTCACACTACTTCATACCTGTTGTAGTTATAAATCATACTATTTAGTATGACAATTATTTCTTGTTTGTCTCCTACATTATACTCTTACTGGTATTTTTCAGAAACCAGCATCCTTTCCTTGGTTTACCTCTATATGCGCAGCACCTGTATTCAACAAATGTAACAAATGTTTTTATAAGTAAAGAAATGATAGATATTTATACCCAGAAATTTTCTAGTTTGGAAGAAAAAGAAAAACAAGCATATAAATATACACAGTACTACAAAGAAAGCAGATGAGATTGGTGTAACCCTAAAGCCAGGAAACAGCATTCTCATGGAGGGGAGGGACGCAGACCAGGAGTGCTTCCTGTGCCTTCCCTGGGTTGGACGAAGGACACAGAACTGAATGAACCTGAGCCACTTGGGCAAAGTAAGGTTGAAGCTGGGATTTCCAAGAATAAATAGATGTAATATTTATATGTTCTTACATTCAGTTGGTGTTATCTCCAGCTATACTAAGGTCAGGGCACTGGGCTAGACTCAGGCAATCCGGGTCGAGGAATCAAGAAGGGAAGAAGGGAAATGGGGATGGGATGACGTGGGCTGTGCTATTTAGGGCTTGGGAAGAAGGGCAGAGAAGGGCCAGCCATGAAGGGAAAGTAACAGTGGTGTCTTTTGTTAACAGGTCTGCTCACCATAGACTATCCCCTCATAAAAAAAGAGGCAGAATTTGATCAATTTGGGTTGAAATCTGGATCTTTTCTCAAGCAGGATACCAAACTAGCTTTTTTCATAGAAAAACCTGTTTCACCACCTCAGTCAGCTCAGCAGGAATATTCACTGGAAGAACCTTCAAAGGAGAAGCCTGAGCATGTTCCTGTGAGCTCTGCTAGAAAGAAAACCATCAAAATTGCAACCAAAGCCGTGGGCACAGCCAGGTTAGCTTAATCCCCATCTGTTCCGTGAGCCCCGAGGGCTGTGATGTGCAGCAATATTCAATAGCTAAGCAAACAGCTGAAGGCCCTACCTCTTGGAGCGTACCTTATACAGATAGAGCAAGATAAGAAATGAACAGATAAATTATTAAAATAATGTTAGGTAGTGATCCAGGCTTGGAAGAAAAATAATGGGTAACATGTTAGAGAAGGTATTTGCTGTCTGTCAGATCTGGCCAAGTTGTTTTTTTCTGGGCAAACTATGAATGCTTTTTACGTTTTAAAGTACTTGAATGGAAAAAGATCAAATGAGTATTTCATGACATTTGAAATAATCTGATATGCAAATGTCACTGAATACAAAAGTATTATTGGAGCATGTATCCACACATTTACATATCTTCTGTAACTACGTTCTGACCACAGTTGAAATGTGGACTGATTTTGACAAATGATCATCAGGCTGGAAAGATCTACCTGACTCTGAATAGAAAATGCTGGATGACCCCTGGGATTGATTAGGTGGTAGGAAGTAGGGCAGACTGTTTTCCATTTTGGAAGAGAAATCAATAAAGGCAACTGGGGATGATATTTAAACAGAGCTCTGAAGGATGAGAATGGGATATGGGAAGGGAACTTAGGGAAAAGGATATAGCAAGTGCCAAAACCCTAAGCAAAAGCAGGTTGAGTGTGTGACAGGAAGGTGACCAGTGAGACTGGAGCATTGGGAAGAAGGGGACAGTGGTGTGAATTGAGATCTGGCTATTGGTTGGCAGGGATTTGCTCAAGCAGCCTTATTAATGTTAACTTCCTTAATTTAAGGAGGAATGTATTATAAACTGATTTACCTTACTTTTTTTTTTAGCATAACATAAACTATGTTTTTAACTCTTTTAAAAATATTTCAAGAAAATTTGGTGACTCTTCAGAGGACAGTGCTGTGATTTTCACCTATGACCACCAAGAAATCAAACTTTCTTTTTTTTTTTAAGATTTATTTATTTTTATTGAAAAGGCAGATCAAATTACAGAAAGGAGAGGGGATGGAAGGATCTTGCAACTACCAGTTCACTCCCCAAGAGGCTGAAATGGCCAGAACTGAACTTATACAAAGCTAGGAGTCAGGAGGAGCCTCTTTTAGCCTTCTCACGTGGGTGCAGGATCTCAGGATCTCGGGCTATCTCCCACTGCCTTCACAGATCACAGGCAGGGAGCTGGATGGGAAGTGGAGCAGCTGGGACATGAACCAACCACCCATGTGGGATCCCAGAGTGTGTAAGGAGTTGAGCCATTGCCCTAGGCCCTAGGCCCAAGAAATCAAAATTTACTAGCTCCCTTGAAGCCTCATGTCCTCTTGCAGTCACCAACCCCTTTTCCCTCCCGTGATGGAAGATTTCCAACACAGTGATTACTTTTTCTTATTGTTATTTTACAACTTTATTTAAATGATCTATTTGGTGCATCTTTGGTATCTTGCTTCTGTGTGTGTGTCTGTGTGTGTGTAACCTTCAATAACATGGGGTCAATTCTGTGCAGAACAAACTAAAGAGAGGGCAGGGAAGAAAGCGCAAGACCCACCAGAGGCTGATCAGAAATGAGGGAGGCTGGGACCACAACCTTTGGAGTGGAAGACAGAAGTGGTTAGATCCTAGCTCTGCCTTGAATGTATCCAGGAGAGACTTGTAATAGATGGTGTGGGACATGGGTGTGGCCAAAAGCAGTGAAGGAGGCCTCCAAAGCATCTCTTGACTGTATGGATGGGTGAGGAAGTGACTTGTCATTCCTGTTTTGCACCTGAAGAAATGCAGCCCAGAGGGGTTAGAGGTCCATTGAAGGAGGAGCTGCATGTTGGGAGTGGAGACTAGACTAACCTCTGCCTGCAACCCAGCCTCTGCAGTGGGTCCTTCACTCCTCTGGTATTCTGAGGGCAGTGCCCTGTGCCCTGTCCAATGAGAGCCCCCTGGCCAGTATGCTCTTGCTTGCAGAGGGAAGACCAAGGAGGTACGCAGCTCCACCAGGTGGGTGGCCTCGCCCTCAGACTGCCCACTGATGCTGCGGAAGCTCATGCGCAAAGAAGATGCCCGAGCCGGCTGCAGGTGCATAGCCAAGGTGCCCCTGGTGTCTGACTTGGAGCTGGAGCGATTCCTGTCTCTGCCCCGAGACCCCAACCAGGTTCTTGTGATTGGGATACTCTCAAGCCAGAACCCCAGCAGCACAGCCCAGCTCAAGTGGCTTCTGGACACGCTCTATAGACACCAGCAGCGGGGCCGTGGCTCACCCTGTCTCCAGGTAGGTCTGGGCCCAGTGAGGAGATCCCAAGGGACAAGGGTAGGAAGGTGCCTTTGGAACTGTGTCCCCTCCCCCCTTCTCCACCTACCTTTTATCCTGGTGTTAGAATTCACTGAGAAACTTAGTTTATTTTTGTGCTGGGAACTTTGCATATACTTCCCCCAAACACACACACACACACACACACACACACACACACACAGAGTATGTGATCTTTCTTACCTCTTCTGTTTTCCCATCCTCTTATCCCAGGATAAATGTCAGAACATCAGTGCAGACACTTCTGATGAGCTTTGAGACAAAGCCAGACACTGTCCTTTATTTCTGGGATACTTAATCCACTGATGTTTATTTATAAGTTTGTGTATCTAGAGAAGATACATTGGTTACCACTGTCCTGGGTATTCATAATTGGTTAGACACTTGCTGACATTGTCACCTGCCTTTCACTCAGATACCAGCAAGGTCTTGGAGGAGCTCCAGCTTGGCTGCAGCTATGACAGGCTCCAGAGCCCTGTGGCTGGGCTACTGTGAGAATATAGGAGCCCAGAAACTGGTGCCTGCTGTTTCCTGGAGCTCAGATAGGGCATTCCTGGATGTTTGGGGTTCAGGCAGGTGGTGAGTGTCCCTGGAAGAGGCAGTGGTCTTTGTGAAGAGAGACAAGGGAAGCAGGCTACTGATAGTGAAGTCCCATGGGGGACTCGGGGTCCAAGAAACTCCTTCTATGTGCTGGCCTTGGCTCTCTGTCACAGCGTTCATCATCCTCTAAGTTTGCAGTAATTCCTGGCAGTCATAGCACAAATAAGGGCCAGTCTTAACTCCAGGCACAGTGCAACATTGGATGCCAAGTGAGTTGAGTGTCTATATAGTAACTTCTTTCAGGCCTTTTATCCCCCTTTATTCTGTAATCCATTGTCTGCCTGGGCCCCATTATAGCTTCCTGAGTTTTTAGGGATGCCCTGGGAGTGGATTTGCATAGATACCCTCTCCATCTCCTCCTCCCAGGAGTGGCCCTTTGTTGACCATCACTTGCTCACCCTTGGACCCATACTCTGGCCATTGCCAGGAGTTCAGTGTTTTAATCATTTCTTGTCCTGTCTCATTCCAAGATGGTACAAAGTCAGCCCTGGCCTATACATCAAACATGCAGTTGTTTTCTGGAGTCAGTTCCCACTGACTCCAATTCAGCAGATGTTCATTGAGTATCCGCCCTGTGCCCATCTGTGAAAGGACACAAATAGCCTCTCCCTGGTGGGAGCTAGCAGGTGACTTTAGTTAGCCTAGGGACTATTTCTTCAGTCCAGTTGTCCCTGAGCAGTCATAGTCCAGTTCAGTGCAGCCTGAAGACAAGGCCTGACCCAAGGTGGTTGAACTCCTGAAGGAAGGGCACTAGGAAGTGAGTACAGGGATGGAGTTCCAGATTTCACAAGGGCCTGGGTCCCACTTTAGAATATCATTGGGTAAAGCAAGCTATTTTCTGGTAACAAGAGCATGATGAGCTATGGGTATTACTGCTTACGGGGATAGGAGGTCACCTGGAGACACCTGGAAACAAAAGGCAGCTAAAGCCAGTGAGTTTGCAGCATTAGTGGATCCATAACATCCAGAGAAGGGAGAGGAAGGAGGCCAGCTTTGATCTGAACCAGCACCCCTTACCATGAGGAGTGGGCCCTGTTAAGGTGGTCACACTAGGTTTAGTGACAGGGAAGGTCCAAAGGGTAGCCAGCAGAGGAATCCTTTAAGCGGATTGCTTTGCATCTTCAGACCTTTGCAGGGCTCCTACCAGGGCAAGAACAAGAACTATCACTTTCTGTGGATACAGAGAACCAGGACAGTGGATGTCATGTGGTGTGGGGAAGGATGGGGTGAGGGGCTGTTATCTCTACAAAGCCTTTCTCCAGAGATAGTGCTAAACTGAGCCAGGGCACATCCTCTGGGGTCCCCTAGCAAGAAAGTCCTTAAGCAGGTGTGGGGTGGAAAGAATTACAGCAATCTGGGACTGGGAGGAACATAGCCTAGCCATGAACATAGTACAACCAAGAACATGGTCATCCAAGTGCTTGCTCTTGACCCCACACTCCTGTGTTGGCAGTGCTGGCATGACCCCTACCGCCTACTGCAGTATGACCTGGACAGCCCCCTGCAGAAGACCCCTCCCCTGTTGGTGAAGAAGCATGCTGTGGTGCAGGGCATGGTCTTGGTGAGTTGGAGACCTGTGGGAACATCCTGGCCCGTGGCCTGCCCTTGCAGAACCATGGATGTGGAAGGAAGGGGAGGCAGGGGCCTTATAGGATCCTTTCTCCACCCAGGCTGAGGCTCAGAGAGCACAAAGACAGAGCCACCCAGCTCCTAATCCAGCTGGAGCCCACACATCCCCATCTCAGGACACTGGGATGACTGATGGCAAACCCATAGAGTCAGATTCTCACCATCTGTTAGTTTGTAGTTGACCTTGTATTCAGAAGAATATATTGGAAAAGTTATGCTTGTTTATTACAGAAAACTTAGAAAATAGGATGTAGAAAAATAATTACATTTCCTATTTCTCAACTCATGTATTAATCTGATAGTGATGCATAAATGCCCTGGGCACCCACTGGTCCACACCTACCCCATGTATCAGTGTCTGGCCTCTGTGGTCTTTTTCTATATGGATACTTACTTAGGGTCCTGCTTTGTAAATCCAAATCCCATAAGCATTTCCCCATAGCCACATAACTGCTAAGAGTTTACCATTTCCTCTTTCTTTTCTCATTGCTTTTATCTTAAACATCAAGGTTAGGTCTACTTGGGGGAGGGACTAGATGGGCTGATCGTGCATGAACATATTGTGATGGATATCGTTGCACAGAACTATTTGGACAGGTGTTATGGAAAACAATGTGCAGATGATGGAGGTACAAAGGGCCCTGTACCATGGGACAAGTTGAACATTGCACCCCCCCAAGTGGGTAGGGACACGGCAGTGAGATGGCTGTAGGCTGGTGACTAGGAGCTCTCTAGTGGTGAAGATACCCTCTGGCTCCAGTAGTCTGGAAGCGTTTATGTGTGAGATGACATTGGAGCATGTTCACCCAACAGGAACAAGTAGGTCTCTTCTGTGGACCTAGGCCAGGGGCCAGGACAGGCACAGCTCTCTGGACAGCTTAGGGAGACCAGGCCCGTTCCCAAGCTACCAAAGGCCAACGTTCTCACACAGGTTCTGAGGGGGCACTGGCATTGTCCTCCAAGCCACAGAACTCCCCATTCTATAGTCCTTGCTGCAATACGAATGTGTTCCTTGTCTGCACACAGATGTTTTCTGAGGGGAAACTCCTCTTCGGGGGCCGCGTGTTCAATGGATATGGCCTGAACAAGCAGAATCTGCTCAAACAGATCTCCCGCACACAGCAGGACTGCAAGATGGGCTACTTCCTCCCAGACAACTACAAGTTCAAGTAAGACAGGAGAGGCCCAGAGAGGGAAGGGTTGGGACGAGAACAGCCTGGGGCTGTGAGATGGGCTCTGTTGGGGAGCAGGTGGTGAAAGTGGTGAGATGGGCATTGAGCAGAGCTGAGGAAGCAAACCTCAGCTTGCAACACATGTTGGAGAGACTGCAGCAAGAGAATGTGACAGAGGGCAAAGCAGAGAGAGATAAGGCAATAGTGAGGAACACATGAGGCCACTTGCAGATTTCTTTGGGACACAAGTTTGGATAAACAATGTTTTTGAGGAAGGGACATGGGCACCATGTCGCAGTGCCAGTGTCTGATGGGCAGTCAAGTAGGGACAGGGATGGATGGGCAGAGGCCCCAGCTGCATCCCTGTCCCTCCCTGTGTGTACTTCCATGCCTGCTTGTGTTGGGTATGCCATTTGGACCACATGGTCATGGGTCATGTATGATGTAAGCTCAGGCCCCTGGGAGAGGAAAGGCTAGCTTAAGTCTTCTTCCAGACTTCTGAGTTCAGGCTTTTTTTTTCTTTTAAACTAGATAAGGCCATCTTATTAAGAACTTTTTGAGCCCAGCCCTGGTGAGGAGATCATATGTAGGTCTGACACACATCTGGGCTCAGTCACGGCCTGGCCTTCAGGACATGCTGCTGTGTGTGATGCAGAAGGTGAGCAGCTTCTAAAGGCCACACAGTGCAGTGCAGTGAGACACTTACCCAGTCAGGAGTCCCCAGGTGCAGGACAGTGCCCAGCTTGCAGGGCTGCTGTGTGTTTGTTAAGGAGCTTTTTCAAGTTTAAATCAACCAAGCATATATAGTTGGTGTTGCCTGTGACTGTCCCCCAGGCTCAAAGCCAAGCAGTGCATCTCACATGGCTGCCTTAGTTTTCAAGGAATCTTGATTCCAATCTCACCCCAAGGTACTTGGTTTATGCCGTGCCAGGACACAATGCTGATGAGGTTTGGGGGAAATTCACTCCTATAAGGACCATGGAGGTTGTGCATTGGAGAAGGATGAATTGGGGTGGCGGTGGGGGTGGGGAGGGATTCTCTAGATAAAACAGCTAGCCTGCCCCCTGCTCTTCCTTCTCTGATTCCCCCTCTGCCATGACCTCTGAAAACAGCAGGGACTGACTGACAGCATTTCTGATTCCAGACGTCCCCCCTCTCCCTTTAACTGGAACAAGAACTCTGGGGGTCCTTGCCCTGCTCTGCAGTGACATATTTAAAATGGTCACCTTGATTTTCTGCACTCCCCTGTGGGGCTAGGGCAGGAAATGGATACAAGGAGGAAAGGAGAAAGAGGTGTTAGCTTGCCAACTGTGGACATTGTGAATAGTGCCACACTCAGGAATCCTGTCGTGGTATTCTGCATTTTTAATTTTATTTATTTGTTTTTTCTGCAGAGTCCTTGAAATGATGAAAGAAGGTTCTTGTTTTTCTTGTCTTGCTGTCTCCTTACTGGCTCTTTAGATACACTGGGCCCCCACCACACTGTGCCTTGCTGTAAACCTTGGCAGGAGAGGGTTTGTCATGGGCGGTCTGCTCACATCCAGCCTAGCCCAGCCCAGCTGGATCACTGCAATGCCACATCGGGTCCTCTGCCCGAGAGCCCTCTTGAGCTCCCTGCACTGGCACCTCTCCCTCTTTGGGAGTCCAGCTTCATCTGCAGCTGTGAGCACTGTGTTCTGAATGTCCCCTCACCATGGATGAGCTGACTTTCTGACTCCCCAGGTAGTAATATGAGGAGACGTGACCTTTGGGAGTGGTTAGGTCATGAGGGTGGAGCTGTCCTGAATGAGATTAATGCCCTGGTGAAAGAGGCCCCAGAGAGAGCAAGACTCTGCCCAAGAACCTGAAGCGAGCCCTCACCAATATCCAGTGGGCCAGCCTCCTCATGCTGACTCCAACCCTCCAGCCCTGTGAGAGTGTGGGCTGCATTAGCCACCCAGCCTGGGGTATTTGTTGTGGCAGCCCAAACAGTTGAGACAAAAGCTGCTGCTAGCAGAGTGTGATTCAGACACAGACCCTTACTGTCTCACAGCTCTGAGGCTGGGAACCTGAGAGGAAGTTGGAGACAGGGTCATGCTGCCTGTGACAGTGTGAGTCCCAGCCTCTCTCAGCTTACAGTAGCTCCTTGGCATGTGGCAGCTCAACTCCCGTCTTCCCGTAATATCTCCCCAAGTGTCTATCTGTCTATCCACTTTTTTCTAGCAATATCACACTAATGAGATTGAATTGAGGGCCAGCCCACTCCAATATGACCTCATCTTCACAAATTTCATCTCTAATGACTGTTGAAACCAGGTGCCATTTTGGTGTCCTGGGAGTGACAACATTACCATAGGACTTTGAGGGCTCCATGCAGCACACACCTCTATGCAGCGTGATGTAACTCCCTGGTCTCTTGTTCTTCCTTTGCTCAATCTACCCAGCCCTCACACCCCATCTCAGGCATTTCCACCTGCCAGTTATATAGGTACGGCTTGCACAGGAGTGAGGACTAATCATTCCTTGGAGAGAAGCCAGGGAAGCTGACCTCCCGTGGGTCCCAGGGAGGTTAGAGTCTCCCTTCCCTATCTCTCCTCAGGAGGAGGAGCAGCCATGCCCTTGCCCTTGGCTCTTGACCAGGTGGTACACTGAAGGTCCCTCTGACTCTGCCACTGCTGAAAAGTGCCCTCGCCCATGTCTCCCCTGCAGTTCATCAACCACTATCCTGAGCCTGGAGAGTTCTGGATCAACTAGGAGAGCCTTGTCGGATGATTTTGAAGGAAGCTTCTCCTCATTGGTCACAGGAGAGGAGGAGGTAGAGAAGGAATCTGCTGCTGAAGTGGCCAAGAAGTAAGTTACCATTGACCTGGGATGGGTAGAGTGATCATGGCTTACAGCAGGACCACTGGCACTGCCACAGGTCACAAAGGTCACCGCAGGTCTGTGTGGCCTTGAGCTGGTCACTTCCCCAGACACGTGCCACTGTATGACATTTGGCTGATTTTATAGACACAGTGTCCAGCTTGGCATCTAGGTTGCCTCCTGTGGTCCCTGAGTGGTCTAGGGAGTGATTGGTCAAAAGCACAGCCTTTTACTTGACTTTGTAGCAAATCCCACAGCCATACTCACCTACCTAAAAAAAGTACAGATTTTCTTGATGTCTCTCTAGACAAGAATTATGCTGACCTTGTCAAAAATCCACTAGCTTGGTGGTTGGCATGGGAGCACATTTCTCTGGAACATAGGAAAGTCAAACACGAGGCTGTAGAAAGGGCAAAGGTGCTGTTGGGCCCCGAGTTTGAGGAACAATCAGGCAGCATCACAGGTATAAAAGAGAGGGCCATGGCCAGTTGTGCCCAGGCCTGGCCAGACCTCCAGGCTCTGTTAAGGAGACCAGCTCTTCTGACTCACTCTATAATACATGCTTTTTGTTTTTTTGCTATTTAGGATGAAACAGCTTGATATGGCGTTACGTCCTATCAGCAAACTCAGAAGGGGCAGTAAGAAGTAAGACGTGAAAGAAACAGGCCTGCAAGAAATGATGCCAATGCTGGTGACCACCAATGCCCTTCCCCACACCTAGCCAATTCCTGGCTCCTCAGTGTCCAGTCCTCCCCCTTAAGCCTCGATTCTCAGTGTAATAAACCAGCAAGCTGCCTCCAGTGTCTGGGTGAGGCTGTGGGTTGCCTGGAACAGGCCTAACTTAGTCTGGCTCCTACAGAGCTGTTGGCCCCAACAGCTTCTGCCAGACTAAACCCTTGGTTTCCCAAACCAGAGCTTCCCCTATGAACAGTGCAGAAAACAAACCTCCTGCACCACAGGGCCAAGATCAGTGACATGTGACTCTGGGGGAACCTCAATGGGATACACGGTTCCCTCTGTCCATTTGGTGGATGGGGAAGGGCTCAGAATTCCTGTCCAAGTGGCAAAGAGGGTGAGCGGGAACAGAGGGATGAGGGAGAACAAAGAGAGAAGCTGAAGAGATGGGAGAGGAGACAGAGATGGAGACAGTGTGAGGAAGAGAGAGAAAAGACAGGGAAAAGGAGGAGAGTGAGGAGGAAGAGAGAGAAGGAGGAAGAAATGAGGAGGACGGCCAGAGAATGAAGTGTCCAAGGCCACCCAGGACCTTCCATGGTACTTGGAAGACAGACCCCTGTGGCCTCTGGGCAGGACCAATGTCTGTGCCCTTCGGTAGATGCGGCATCATGTGCCATCTTGTCCTGGATCCCTGCTGCACCTGACAGGATGGCTGTTGTGACCATCAGCTTTGAGCCACCAGCTCCGGAGCTGAGTGAGGTCTCAGGGATCTGCTTTGTTCTCTGAGCCTGGAGGAGGGTTGGGGCCTGGCCTTCAAGTGGCATTGGGTGTTGTATTATACACAATTAGTGTGCTTCTTGCAGCTCCATACCTGAGAAAATTAAATGAGGAAATTGGGGAGTTCAAGTGTTTAGTGGTGAAGATGGGTGTATCCCACGTTAGAGTGCCTGGATTCCATCCCAGATCCTGGTCAGTTTCTTGCCTGTGTAGACTCCCCGAGACACCATTGCTGATGCACGTATTTGGGTCCCAAGTATGCTTTTGGAGACCTGGATTGAGTCCCTGGCTCCCAGCTCTGGCCTCAATCAAGCCCAGCATTTGGTTATTGAAGCAGTAGATGAAAAGTTTCTCAATTTCTGCTTCTCTTATCAATTAAATAAATACTTGTTTAAGGAAAAATGCTAATGTTATAAGACAAATACCCATTCAATTGTATAATAGTCCTGTAATTTGTTATGTTCTCTGGTTTCCAGCTCTCTCTGGTTTTCATCAGAAACACTTTGGGTAAAAGTTGCCATGTAACACATGACTGCTGCAAAGAAACTCAAACTCAGCTCAAAGCTAGGACAGGTGGCAGGGTACTCGAAATCCATGCTGTTGGGACTGGGAGGCTCATAGATGCTTTCCTGTGGATTGTCCAGGATGTGAACAGAATCTGGTTAGTTGCTTAAAATTCTCACAGAAGAGAAAAAAATAAACAGATTCAGAGATGTGGCCCCTGGAGTAATTAGAGGCGGGGCCAACACACAGAGTATGGAACTTAGCTCCAAATCCAGGCAGGGCTGCAGACTGCTGCCCTGGAGTTCACATGACTCTTTCCCCAAGGAGGTTTGCTCAGGTCAGTGGGATGACAGGACCCATCCAGATTCATCCAGAGGACCATCACTTTGCCCCGATCACCTAGCTCCTGGAAAGGCTGCCTGAGAGCACAGATTCAAAAAGATGAACATTCAAGTAAAGATCAATGCTCTGAGATACTTACGGTCACATTATTCCTAACAGAGACATAATGCGGACCAGCAGCAGTGGAGGAAGTGTTTTGACAATCATGTAAGCTACCCTATTGAACTCTTAGGCAGTAACCAAAAATAGCTGAGCAGGCCAATTCTGGAAAGGTTTAGTGAAAAGAACTATAAATCAATAAATGTATACACACTGATCGGACGTTCCCCAAACACTTATGCACACATCAGATAGAAAGCTTTTTCTCTTGAAAAGCAAGATGATGACTTTGGAAAGAAGATGATCAGGGGCCCACCCTTGTGTTTTCTCTCCTGCAAAAACAATGCTGAATAACCATGAATAAATTTGATTGTGTAAGTACAGAGGGAAGTGAGGGACCAGGCATGGGGAAGGTTCAAGGTCAGGGAAGCTTAGTTCAGCTAAATGACCGAATAGAAGAGAAGGTGTCGCATCTTAGAGGAAATGCTAAAAAGCAGGCTGAGTTACCACCAACACAAGAACTTCCAGAGGTGGGGAGAACATGAAAGAAACATACTGGAGAAAGAAGATGCCTAAACTGAAGGTAGGCAATGGCCACACTTCTCCCTACTCCTAACAGATTCAGTTGGCAACATACAAAAGCACACTGAGCTTATGAGCTCAGGGTTACAGAAGGATTAGGGTTAGGGTTAACATAGCTTATGAGCTTATGTTATACAGCATAACGTCAGTCCTAGGCCAGGGTGGTAAGTTTTCACTAAAACACTAAGCTTCTCTTGAACATTTTGATTTTCTAACTGTCCTAGACAATAACAGTAGTTCCATCACCACGCAGAGAACAAGAAGGCACACATCCACAGCTTACACCTGCAAGGCACAAGTTCAGATGAGACGACCTGGCCGTCCTCCTGGGGAGGACATCTCCTCTAACTTGAGTACACTAAGTGAACAGATGATTCTCAGTTACCATCATTCACCTGGGTTATGTAAGCTTTCCTGAACCAGCTTCCCTCAACCATTGGATTTAAAGGAAATGACACATACATGGCCTGGCTACTAGATATCTTAACTTTATAAAAGACCAGTAGCCTTTTCTGTTCAAACTTGAAATTCTACTGTTTCATACATAGATCACCAGACAACAGAAAATCATTTGTGTACTAACAGCCACTTTCAGAGGGAATGAGTGGTCCTACAAGTCCTGGGCAGATGTATAGCTAAGCACAGGAATAATCTGATAAACATGGACTTGAATCTGTTTCTGTGAAGTTTCACAAACAAACCTACTTACTGAGCCAATTCAGATGCACTGTGTTGAAACACCTGTCTCAAGAAGGCTAGATTGCAGGGAAAGCGTGTGTGTCAAGGCAAATTGTTCGAAGGCATTTCTGTCCGTGGGACCACAAGGCAAGTGAACTGTGTGCTCTGCTTCCCAGCACTGCAGCACCACATGCTGGTGCCACCTTAGAAGCTAAAACCTTCATCTGATTCATTTAAGTTTGAAACTGCATACTCAGGCCCGGCACAGTAGCCTAGCGGCTTAAGTCCTCGCCTTAAATGTGCCAGGATCCCATATGGGCACCAGTTCTAATCCCAGCAGCCTCACTTTCCATCCAGCTCCCTGTTTCTGGCCTGGGAAAGCAGTTGAGGACAGCCCAAAGCCTTGGGATCCTGCACCCACGTGGGAGACCCGTAAGAAGCTCCTGGCTCCTGGCTCCTGGCTTCAGATCAGCTCAGCTCTGGCTGTTGCAGCCACTTGGGGAATGAATCAATGAACATAAGATATTCCTGTGTGCCTCTCCTCTCTCTATATATCTGACTTTGAAATTAAAAAAAAATCTTTAAAAAATAAAACAAAAACTGCATGCTCCATTCAGTTGCTAGAAAGCATCTTTACATATCATATTTAAATACGTTTGGAGCATCTTGGGTAAAAATCTACCTTTTTCAACTGTTTTATGTCGTCCATGTGCAGATCAAGTACTCCTCATGAAGTTAACATTCAAATACAGATAGACCCTAAGTGGAATTTGAAGACTTAGTATGAAAAAGAAACTGAAAATTTGATTCATTATTTCTGCCTATTGAAATATTTTAGTGTACAAATGTGATAAAATATGCTCCTATTTTTAAATTAATTTTACTTTTAAAAGATATACTTGCTAGGAAATTGGATAAACAACTTGTGACTTAAATTTCTTAGAGCCTGGATCTGAAATCTTCAAAGTCTATCGCCATCTGCTGGACACACTGAGTCAAAACAGGCCAAGGAGACAAGGCTTGGTGATGAAGACAGAATGAGATATAACTGGGTTTACAAAACCCTGAGTTCAATTGATGCTGTGAAGTGGGCATCAGAAATAGGTTCACACAGTCTTTATAATCCCAGAAAGATATGACTCAGAGTCCCTCGTGTCCAGGTGCTGATGTGCATGAGCTCTTTACCGTGTACCTGAGGAGCTCTGGGGAGCAGTCTTGTACTTTGGACTCTTGCATGGCCACTGGCCCCCGCGTCCATGGCTCTGGTTCCTTTCTCTTCTCCTGTTAAGTCTACAAGCTGCTTCTCAAGCCCTCCTTTTGTGCTACCAGGCAAATACATCCTCTCCATTTCTCCATCTTGTTTATCTCATTGTTCTATTCCTTTTTTTTTTTAAGATTTATTTTTATTTTTTTTTATTGGAAAGGCGGATATACAGAGAGGAGAGACAGAGAGGAAGATCTTCCATCCGGTGATTCACTCCTCAGGTGAGCGCAACGGCCGATGCTATGCCGATCCGAAGCCAGGAGCCTCTTCTGGGTCTCCCACGCGGGTGCAGGGTCCCAAAGCTTTGGGCCGTCCTCGACTGCTTTCCCAGGCCACAGGCAGGGAGCTGGAAGGGAAGTGGGGCCGCCGGGATTAGAATCGGCGCCCATATGGGATCCCAGGTGTGCAAGGCGAGGACCTTTAACCACTGCGCCACCACACCGGGCCCTATTTTTTTTTAATATTTTCTTTCTTTTTCACTTATATTTTTAGCATTTTTGGCGATTCTATTTTTTTCCTTTAAATAGTTGATTTTCTTCTTGTCTGTCTTCCCTGCCCCCACTTGGCATACAAGCTATTTCCAATGGCTTTGCAATCTTAGCTCTTACATTTACATTTGATCCACTTTGAAATGGCTTTGTATATGGTATGTGGTCAAAATCTAAGTGTGTTGTTTTGTATGGCTTTCTCTGAACCATTTGTTGGAGACTGTGTTTTTCTCTCTTGGGTATTCATGGTGCCACTGTGAAAAATCAACTGACCACAAATGTATGGGCTTATTTCTGGACTCTCAACTCTGTGTCACTTTTATATGCCTTGTCTTGAGCCAGGAGTATACTATGGTTACGGTTACTATAGCTTTGCCTTATTAG